GGGGGGGGGGGGCAAAAAAACCAGTTTTATGGAAGAAGCCATCTTTGTTAAAAACCAAACCCAAGTCTGGTGGAAGTCTCCACCAGCAGATTCAGCACCAACCACACTCTTCTCAAAGTCATTCAGCACAAGAGCCCCATGCACTCTCAGCCCAGAACGAGCCACAGCAACTCAAACTGTCCTACGTGTAGAATGTGGACTTCTGTGACTCAGGATGATCAGTGTTTTACACTAACAGCTGACTATCTACTCAGACCTAGTGACCCTGATCAAATCAGTCCACATAGATGGGGGTCTGGTTTACACAAAAAGGAGGGGATTGCTCACCATTCAAAAGAATTCATTCCCTACTATAAATTATTTTAACTGAACCTGACTCATGGTGCATTTAAACATACAGTGCGGTTCACAGTCAACTTGTCAAGGGTATAGCAATTATGTAAAGTGAGGCACCCTGTAATACTGTTAGGCCCTTAGCAACTCCCTGGGCTCCCAGGGCTCTGGGCAGCCCAGCTGTCACTTACCACAAACAGGTGGTGTGAAACAATAGCTCCACTGAGCCGACTCACTTTCCAAGCCCTCTAACAGCCAAGCTTCCAGCCAGAGAGTCCCCACGAGCGGCACCCATCCACACCAGCACCCACAGCCCATGGAGCCCTGGCCGCTCCTCCTGCTCCTTGGGCTCTGCTCAGGTAAGTGCCAGGGTCGAGGGGCTCTCCTGTGACGCTGAAGCATTGGAAGCCCCCAGACCAGTATGTTGCTTGTCTGAGGGGAATACAGAGTGGTAGGGCTTTGTCAGCCTGAGGCAGTATACTCTGTCAGTTTCTCACTCCTGTTGGCTTGATTCGGTTTGTGGATAAAGATTTCTAATTTGTGTTATCCAATTAAAATAGGAGCTGTGGGCTCAAAGCCTGCAAAGTAGATGTGCGGGTCTCTGCCTCCATCAGTGCCTGGCATCGGACTTGCCCTTATGATCAGATTCAGCAGCCTTACCACCCTCCCGGAGCAGCTTTCATATCTGAACAACCGTAAGCACTTAGAGTGGCATCTTATAATTACAGACAATTTGGTTAACAAGTCCTTTTACTGCTCTGGGAGAATTCTGATAATGAAGAGATTGATTGACAGCTCCATGTGCTGGAAAGAGAATCCTATTAATAATTGTAACTAAACTCTTTCCGTGAGAGATTACATATTTGGTCTTTCTTTCTTTTTTTTTTTTAACTTCCAAAGTTAAAAACCAAAAGGCCCTATGAATGCGTTTCTGCCTACTTTTTTACCATATGTAAGTTTGGGTTTGAAATGAAACTATAAAAACCTTGCACAGCCCTTGACCTGCATTCACCTCTGGAATGTGTCACAACACAGCAGCTGAAACGCTAGCCTTGATCCCAAACTTCCGGTAGGGGGAAGTAGGAGATGCTTGCTGATTGCTTCACATAAAAGTTTACTGGTGATATCATCCCAATGGAGAAACGAGACGGCTGACATTCTGTGATTTCTCTTTTCCAATATTGCTCCGACAAACACAGGCCTTCTGGGCAACAATGGTAAAAAGCTTTATTATTCATGTTTTTCAACAGCAGAATTCAGGGAAATTGCCTGAGCTCTGATAAATTCCAGTCTGCGGGACTTGGACTTGATCCAACCCAAACTGGCCTGGTGGTGATAGCGTTGGTGACGGTGGTGCAGTGGGTGTGCCACACGCGCGCGCGCGCGTGTGTGTGTGTGTGTGTGTGTAAGCGTGTATGTGCCTGCAAACGCTACACTCAATGAAAATTCTTAAGTGATACGCTTACATGTGAAAATCCTCAGGTGATCTCTTAGGATACCAAAGACCCCTGAAAATGCGTGTTTACCCATCTAAAACAGCATGTGATATTTATTTAGATCAAACCTAGAATTTCCTGGTATCAGTTCACATAGGAGTTCAGAGAAATTCAGAGCTAGATGAGGCAAGGCCCACAACTTAAATTTGTTATTATAGGGAAACTGAGGCTGAAAGACATGAACTGACCTGCCTGAGGTCACCTAATTTATAAAGGTTGGAATGAGATCAGTCGAAGACTGTTTATTGTGGGCCTCATTAGAAAACACAGCCTGCAAGTGTCAAAGGTAGCTAGAGATACGGCACCACGTTGAGACGAGAATTACCTAAAGTGACTAGTAACATTTCAGAACTCCTTTTGTCCAATCCATCGTACTGTTCCTCCATAAAAACTGCAAATTGAGGGGTGTCTGGGTGGCTTAGTCGGTTGTCTGACTTCAGCTGAGGTCATCATGATCTCACAGTTCCCAGGTTTGAATCCTGCATCTGGCTCTGTGCGGACAGCCTTGAGCCTGTTTCAGATTCTGTCTCCCTCTCTCTCTGCCCCTCCTCTGCTCATGCTCTGTCTCTCTCTCTCTCTCTCTCAAAAATAAATAAGCATTAAAAAATTTTTTTAAAAAATGCAAATCGACCTAGTAGAGTACAAAAAGAACACTTGGAAATTGTGGCTGGGTTCCCCTAGTTAGAATCAGTTCTTTGTGGCCAAAATTCTCATTCACATCAGGGACATAATGATCTCTGTTCTACTTACATAGCACCTTTCATCACAACCTTTTCCTCTCTTCCGTCTCCAGAATCCCAAGTACTTCACTGCCACTTTTCTTACTCCATATTACTTTGCAACTTGTTCCTAGCTCTTTGGGTAAATGACAAATGTCAATCTTCATGAGGGTAGAAAGACAAGATTCGTATAATTCATCTCTGAATATCTCAAAGCTCTTAAAACAATGCTTTGCATATAGTAAGTGCTCAACAGATAATGAATGAATTAATGTTACTACCATCTGAATACAGATTACGCCTATGATTTTGCTGAAAAGAAAGACTTTGACATTATTTCTGTGTGTGTGTTTATTAATTTATACCCTGTCTTTTTAAGAAAGTATCTACTGTGATTCATTGATTCCGTGAAGAACTGGTCCAATTAATTATACGGACCACATTGGAGCTGGGAACAGAATCACAGAATTCTGACTTCAAGTCCTGTATGTTTTCTATTACTCCACCCTGCTTTGGGCAGGAAAAAAAGAAACAAACAATGAACCCAATCTAAGAAATGGAGACCTCCTTAGAAATTCCTTAGAAATGCATTACGGAAAGAACAAGGTTCCTTGTTATTAGTGAGACTGAGAGAGGAGGAAGCGAATGTCACTGGAATGCTGACCGGGCCTGTCTCCCAGTCCTTGCCTTCTCCCCAGTGGACCATAGAGTTGGCCTGCATAGTTTTCCTGCTACATAATGTAGACCATCTGCTCTATCTGTTGCTTTCTAGTATGGTCTTCCTGTCAAAGGGGAATAAACAGTCACTTAAAGATAAGCAGCCCAGCTAGTGCCAAAGCAATAGCTTCACACTCTGTAGCCAAGGCACTCAGTGACCCATGACAGTGCCCTGTCCATGAGCCAGGAGGGGCCCAGGAGAGACAGGTGTGGAAGACAGGGCATTGCTGTGTCCCAGGTGCTCCATGGGGTGACAGCAAAAACTGGGTCTTTGGACAACACGCTCCCTTGAAGCATCCTTGAATGCAAGTGATTTGGGTGAGGCGTTGTGTTTAAGTGCTGCATGGATGCTTTGGGGTTCAGAAAATTGGGGAAACTAGAAATGAGGTAGGCTAGGTCAGGGGTTCTATACATAGAATCCAGGAAGGTCATAATGAAGACATTTAACAAGCTACGCGGAAAGCTTCAAAAATCCAAATGGAAAAGATACATTCACCCTAAGGGAGGTGACAAAGAGCACAGACCCTGGGGTCAGATTGCCTGCATTTATAATCCCACTTCCAACTAGCTGGGAACCATGAGCACATGCTTCGACTGTCCGAATGTCCATTTTCTCACTTGTAAACTAGGGGTAAAGACTTATCTCATAGGATTATTATAAGGATTCAATAAGGTAATACAAATACAGGGCCTTCAATGAAGCTCTCCTAACAAAATACACATTTTTGTGGGGATGAACGTGTTTCGACTCATTGTGTGACATTGGTTATTTCAAGCTGGTCCAAAGTTCTGGGTGAGAAATAGTGGTGGAGAGCATGGTCGCTGGGCTTGAGTCCTGGCTCCACCGTTTATGAAATCTGGACAACTCACTCAACCTCCCTATGGTTCAGTTTCCTCCTCTGTAAAGTGAAGACAAGAACCGTGCCTACCCCACCCAGTTACGAGAAAAGAAAGAGTCAATAACGTATAAAGCGTGTCTGCCACATAACAAATTGGATACGCTAGTTATTTTTATTAATAAAAATAGAAAGGTAATTGGTTAACTTAACAGTTATTTGGTTGACAAACTCTTTCAAACCTAGGATTCAAGGAGAAAAACAATAAAGAAAAATAATGACCTGTCTTAGAGGCAAGAGGTTAACATTACTGGGGACAAGGGAAAGCATCTCACTCATGCGATTTTTCAAGTTGTCACGGCCCAGGGAAAAGGTATGGTGGCTTCAGGAATAACCTGCGGAAAGGGGAGATCTGCTTACATGAATTAGGGCAAATGGATCATGTGTCTGCTTCCTCTCATGACCCTGAACAGACAATCCCCAATCCACGTAAGGCTGGAGTTACAAAGATCCTTCATAAGGCACTTGCTGGAATTTGGAACGCTTTTTCTCATGGTTAGAACGGTGGGTGCATTCGTGCACTTTCTAAGACAGCCCACGGCACACTCGTGACCTCACGAGTCAGTGCAAGAGCACAGCGCAGAATGACAGGGCTCCTCCCAAGCCCCGCCCCAGCCGCAGGACCTTGGACAAGCCTTCCAGCCTCTCAGATCTCACGTGAGAATGACCGTCTGCCTGCCTCGTCGCAGGCTGGTGAGAACTGCATAACATTGGATATAGAAAAGCTGTGGGGTCCAAGAGTAGTAGATACTATTTTTCACCCACCTGAGGGAAAATGCAGTAAAGATTCCTAAGAAGTCACTCGTGCTCCAGACAGGAGGAGCTCCAAACCTAGGTCAGAAAAGCACGTGGTGTTTACTTAATGTTAAGTTAACAGGGACACGGACCCACTAGCAGTTAATTTTTTTAATTACAAGAAAAAACACACTACGTAGAATTTGCCACAGGAAAATACACATCACATAAAACTACCATTTGGAGTGTGTGATTTAGTGACATTTAGTACATTCACGGTGTTGTGCAACCATCACCGCTATCTAGTTCGAGAACGTTTTCGTCACCCCAAAAGGAAACCCTGTACCCATCGGCAGTTACTCTCGCTTCCCCTGTCTCCTCAGCCCCTGCTAACCACTGATCTGTTAGCTCTATGGATTTACCTCTTCTGGATATTTCATATCAATGGAATCACACACTATGTGCCCCTTTGTGTCCAATTTCTTTCACTTAGCACGTTTTCAGGGCTCAACCATGTTGTACCATGAGTCAACTCTTCATTCATTTTTATGGGTGAAAAATATTCCACCGCATGTATATGGCGCAATTTGTTCATCCGCTTTATGTGCTGATGGGCATTCAGGTTGTTTCCATCTTTTGGCTATTATGTATAACGCTGCCGTGAACACTGGTGCACGAGTTTTTGTGTGGCCAGTTCTTTGAGGGATACACCTAGGAGTGGCATCACTAGGTCACAGGGTCACTCTGCATGCACCTCGTGTGACGAACCGCCAAACGCTCTCCCACGGTGGCTGCACCGTGCCCCAATCTCACCAACACTCACCGTCTTCAGTTCTGTGAATGGCGGTCATCCCAGCGGGTATGAACCGGCATCAATTTTCGGCTGTTCAGCGCATCGTGAGATCTGACGCCAGCCAACCTGAGATTTCATCGCCCCATGAGTAGTCTCTGAAATACGAAGACGGGCTTTTGTGTGGACTTGTCTTCTTGTGTGTGCGCAGCGACAAGCCTGATTCAGCCAGAGGCTGTATTAAGGAATGTCATCTGCTCAGAGCACAAGTGTCAGGATAATCTGGCACACCCCACCAGGGAAGGGACCGCACCAGCAGCTGCGATTGGAAAAGAACTTAGGGCAATAGAAGCTGCACTGGGAGCCCTTCAACAAGGGGGCCTGTGTGCCTTCCATTAGCTGGTCACGCCTCAGTTACTTATGCGAGTGTTTGTAGAGGGCGGGGAGCAGAATCTGACAGTGTGTGTGTCATTTGCTGTCTCAGCTGGCCTCGTCCTAGGCTCCGAACATGAGACCCGCCTGGTGGCAAAGCTGTTTGAAGATTACAACAGTGTGGTTCGGCCCGTGGAAGACCACCGCCAGGTTGTGGAGGTCACCGTGGGTCTGCAGCTGATACAGCTCATCAACGTGGTGAGACAGCCGCACTCTGGGCTCCCCGCCCCTCTCACCCTGCAGCACCCTCCCCCCTCCTCCCGTCCTTACCCCTAAAGATGGGGTCTTCTCTTTTTTCAGGATGAAGTAAATCAGATTGTGACAACCAATGTGCGACTGAAACAGGTATTCAGCTAGATAACTGCATTGATGCTGCTGGTAATCACCCCGGAATTTAACCTGAGCCCAAAGGGAATCAATCTGGGTAACACGGTTTACATACCAACATCGTGGAAGTATAAATATTTTGGTGTAGTGAGATTATGGGTCGTATTTGTTGGTATGTGTGTGTTTGTTTTTTACTTCGTGTTTTGTGTTTGTATATTAGTTTGCTAGGCCACCTACCATAAACAAAGCCACAAACGAGGTGGCTCAAACAAGAGAAATTTATTCTCTTGCAGCTCTTGAGGCCAAACGTCCAAAGTCAAGGTATCGGCAGAACTGGTTCCGTCTGAGGGCTATGAGGGACGAACTGCCCCAGGCCTGTCTCTTTTGCGTGTAGTTGGCCAACGTCATGTTCACATGGCATTCTTCTTGAAAATGTTTGCCGTCCCATGTCCCCTTCTTTAAGGACACCAGTTGTGTTGCATTAGAGCCTCTCTTAAGCACCTAATTCTAACCTAATTAGACCCTATCTCCAAATGAAGTTATATTATGAGGTACTGGAAACTGGGGTTTCAACACGTGAATTCTGGGGGAGACGCAGTTCAGGTCATAACACTGTGTCATCTGAATTTGCTACTTTGGGCATTTATTACTTGTATAAGGTAGGAAAGAAATATACCATTTTTATAAAATGATGTTGCCTGCTTGGGGGAAATGTTTACCAGAAGGTCATGCTCCTTTCCTGGGGTGGGCAGGATGGCATGGGAGACGGGCTACCCTGAAGTACCTTTGATTTCTCATCTGTAAAATGGGGCCAATAATCGCTCTTCCCTCAGAGGACTATTGTGAAGACCACGAGATGAATATGGGTAAAATGCTTGTAATAGTGTCTACAAGTAGTCAGTACTATAGAGGCGTTTGGTGTTATTGTTTACTAGCGTGCAAGCTGAATTCTGAATCAAACCTCTTTTACTGGAGCACAACTCCTGTCCACATCTGAACTATCATACCCATCAGAACTCTTAGGTTTTTGAAAAATGTGTTTAGCTCTTTTTATTAGCAAAATGTCGTCTCCATGTTTTAGCAATGGGTAGACTACAACCTAAAATGGAATCCAGAGGACTATGGTGGCGTGAAAAAAATTCACATTCCTTCGGAAAAGATCTGGCGCCCAGACCTCGTTCTCTATAACAAGTAAGCAAAACAGACGGGCTGGGGAGGGCGACATTCCTGGGGCAGGTGGAGCCCAAGCCCTATTGGAAGGGCTGCTACTCTCAGTATGCTTCTCACCACCGTTCACATTAAATAACCCTTAAAAACCAAGAGCCAAGTTGACATGCTAGGGGTGCCATATGGTGTCTCATGTTATGAATAGAAACAATTATCAGAGCCAAATTGAATCAGGGCTGTGGGGTGGGGGACATTTAATCCCTGAGAGCTCCTGAAGGGTGTAGGGCAGCCATCCAAGGAACCCAAATTCATATAATTGAGTTCCTTGGAATTAAATGTCCTTCCTACCAATAGGTCTGAACCTCCCGGGGTTGTTATCCATCACGTCGTCACGGCTTCCCAGGGCGTCGCGTGCTGCTGATGGCCTGGGATGCCTGCGTAACCCATCCACCGGGCTCCGTGACAGACTGCATGTTGTGAAATTATAATGTGATTCAAGACACTCTGGTTTAATGACAGGTTCATTATCATATGCCCTTCATTTGTCAGGGAACGTTCGTTTCAAAGAGCATCCTTCCCAGGCAGGAGCATTCGCCATCGGCCGAGAGGATGTGCGGCCTGACATTCTACAGCATGTGTCTGTGTGAGCAGGCTGTGCCTTCTCGCAGATTGACCAGGGAGGGCGGCAGGGGCTTGTGAATGGAAATGACACCCTCATTTAAGGCTGGCCCTCCTACTTTGATTTTCTACTACATATTTCCCAGTGGCACCTGAGATTCAAGCTTGAGCCAAATTATCCAATCATTTGTGTAACCTTTTCGGACAAATACGCTGATGGAGCAGAGTGTCTTGTGTTAGTCAGTTTTCTCGTTCAGCAAGAATCTAAGAGTCGCCATTAAAATCCGCTCCTCCTTTTGACAAACTCACTCGGGAACACCCTGGTGGGGGGAGAACCCTGTTTTACTTATCTCTATCTATAGAGATGGACCCAGATGACCCTGTGGCCCTCTGCTCTTTGGGTCTCTTTTGGGAAGGTCCAAAACTGCATAGTTTTCTGGATAGAGCCCTACCTCCAGCCCAAGGAAAAATCAGTGGGAAGAAAATCTCTTGGTTAATGAAGTGAGACTCCAATATATGCCATATGTACCCGAAAGCCCACCAAGGCAGACCCCACCCACTTGTTCAACATCTATTCTAAATGCCTTTGGCCAAGGCCCCAGGACACAGGCCATTTGGGGTCAAGTGGACTGCCCACTGAATGAGGCCTGCAGAAGTGGCTTCTTATTTTTTAATATCTACCATGTTGGATTTTTGTAGTGAGAAATTAGTGCCAACTTTCGGAAATTTAAAAATATCACATTGAACTCTGGAGTTTTAGTCTCTCTAGAAAAATCCAACATTCAAAAATATGGAAACTTTGTATTAAAAAATCTAGATTTCCCGCTTCCGAGGAAAAATTCAAATATCTGGCAGTTTTGGGCCTTCACTCACACAAGGAAGCCACAGCAAAGCGGAGTGTCACCTTCTTTAGAGGAGAGAGGGCTCTCCCCTGCCCTTACCGCCTTCCTCACCTGCCTGGCCATGGAGGCATCTGGGTTTGTAGCCCCACCCTATCGAGTTCTAAATAGTTCTGAAAGAGGTAACAGAGCCCTTCTTAACCTGCTTACCACAGTAACGAGCCACTGGACCTGTTTTTATTTTAAATTCCTGTTTTTTTCCCCTAGTTAACTTTCAAGATATACTGGGGGAGGAATAGATGGAAATTAACATTACAAATACTACTGAGGACTGGGAAGGAAAAAAAAAATCGGGTATACAGTGTTACCTGTTATTTCCTTAAAACTAGATTCCTAGGTTCTTCCCCAGATATTCTGATTTAGTGCTTCAGATGGTGCTCGGAAACCTGTATTTTAAACAAGCACCCCAGCGATTCTATTATCAGACAAACCTGGGAAACACTGCTATGGATAAAAAGTGACACTGTCCCAGTGAAAGTGTCTATAATTAGCACCTGAATAATTAACAGCTGTCTCCTGCTAACATCCCCGAGCAGAACTGAAGGCTCATCCGTCACTTGGAGTCATGTTCCTCTTTGATCCCAATTGCAGTGCAGATGGTGACTTTGCCATTGTCAAGTTCACCAAAGTGCTCCTGGACTACACTGGCCACATCACGTGGACGCCTCCAGCCATCTTCAAAAGCTACTGTGAGATCATCGTCACCCACTTTCCCTTTGATGAACAGAACTGCAGCATGAAGCTGGGTACCTGGACCTACGATGGCTCTGTGGTGGCCATCAACCCGGTAGGTGCTGCCCTCGTGTGATGCGGCTGGTCTCAGGAAACGCGTAATTCAGGTGTCCAACTCTGCGCCTCCAGAGTCACAGGCTCTCAGCGCCCATTTGAACTTTGGGATCGTCCAGTTCAGTGGTTCTCGATACGGGGACGGTTCTTGATGTGTGGCCATGAGTACCACCTGAAAGCTTATGTAAATTCCTATGCCCAGGCTCCGTCCTAGGAATTTTGGCTTAATCGGTCTGGGGTGGGACTAAGGCACCAATACGTTTTGAAGTTCCCAGGTGACTTGAATGTGTAGTCAACATGGAGGATCCCAATAGTCCCAGCCCCCTTATTTTACAGGAAAGGACTCTATGGCCCCAAACCGGAAGTGGCCCTCGTGGGTCCTGTCCGGGGTACACGACAGCACCGCCTCCTGTTGCTTTATTACAGCTGATTTTGAAACCCACCCCTCCTCAGGGTGATGTGGCTGGGTTTTCAAAGTTTCATTTCATCTTCTCAGGAAAGCGACCAACCAGACCTAAGCAACTTCATGGAAAGCGGAGAATGGGTGATCAAGGAGTCCCGAGGCTGGAAGCACTGGGTGTTCTACGCCTGCTGCCCCTCCACCCCCTACCTGGACATCACCTACCACTTCGTCATGCAGCGCCTGCCCCTCTACTTCATCGTCAACGTC